AGTATAACCCATGTGTTCCACTACGATCGAAATGCGACGCAGTTACGCCATAACTGCGTCGCAGTTCTTAGAAAAGAGATAGCATGGTATTGAACCAAAATAGCGAACTAGATCGGTATCATTTGTTCTTTTATATTTATTACATGTTTCATAATAAATACACGATACACCAAGTTTTCGAGAAAATCGTTTTCTGTGAAACAATTAATACAAAAAACTACACGAGTTATATACACGTTCAAATAAAAAAATATAGATAAATAAAAGAAAAAAGTTCGTTATGGTACATATTCGTTAGAACATCTAGAAAGAAAAGAAATAAACATTAACTCAAATATTCGAGTAAAAATAAATGCTAATTAAAGCTCACTTGTTCTACATATACAATTGAAGAAATTTACAAATGATATATATACTTAGGGCATACCAAAAGTAGTGAGGGAGGTACTTTTTTTCCTTGAAGCGGGGTAAAAAAAAAATTTCTTTTTTACCAATAGATAGAGCGTGTTTCACTCTATTTTTCTATGCTATTTGGTCACTATTAAACTGTTATCATTATTATAAAATTTCGATAAAATCTGTTTTTGTCGCATATACGCTGGTAGCATGAACATGAATGCTTGTGAATATTTTTGGAATAACTTTTGATAGAAACAAGATAGAGAACTGCGGTTTTCGTCATTGGAAAGAGGAGATGAAGACGCATCGAGCAATGCATTACTAATTTTTCTAACCTGCTTTTTGTAAGGTTTTAGGTCACCTTTTAAAGAGCGATTCCATTCCACGAGTAGTTTACAGTAAATTTTCAATAATTGTGTTCACATTCAAACCGCTTATCGGAGATCTACAGACTGCGAAAGGCTCAGCTGTTTAAATATAATTATTTATGGATAATACCTATTCTAGACGAACCTCTATGAAGATATTCTTGAAAATTTTTTGCTTTTTCTTTTTTTCATAAAACAAGCGTTTTTCTAATGATTAGAAAATTGAATAAAAAAAACCGTCAGAAATCATGTTAGAAAAATCAATAATATGTATTTCGATGCGTCTTCATCTCCTCTTTCCAATGGCGAAAACTGCAGTTCTCTATCTTGTTTTTATCAAAAGTTATTCCAAAAATACACACGAGCATTCATGCTACCAGCACATATGCGACAGAAACAGATCCTATCGAAATTTTATTATTATGATAACAGTTTAATAGTGACCAAATAGCATAGAAAAATAGAGTGAAACACGCTCTATCTATTGGTAAAAAAGAAATCTTTTTTGTACCCCGCTTCAAGGAAAAAAAGTACCTCCCTCACTACTTTTGGTATGCCCTAAGTATATATATATAATAAGTTAATTATTGATTTTTTGATTAATTGTTCTTCCTTCGTTAGTCAAAATTTATTTCGAACTGCTTCTGAAAAACATCGGTAGTCAACACAAAAATTGACAAATAAGTATGTACAAACCTTTCAGCATAATATATCGTTCATCTTTTGGTATATCTTTTGTTTCCATAGCCAATAATTCTTCGGGCTTAAAAAGTACATCCATGAGAGATGTTACATAACGATTAGCATGTTCTTGAATGCCATTTTTTTGAAGTAAATCAATAACAATACCATCAGGTAATTTGTATTCCTAAATAAGAGAAAACTTCAAATTGAATACTTTCTGTGTATATATTACAGAAGAGACATCATACCAGAGAAGATAGAAAAGTTTGATTGTTGGTCGATTCATCTTTGTCATCCACTTCAAGTAATGCAATGTTCATCTAAGACAGACAAATAAAGTAAGAATCATCAAATAAATCATCAATTACCTTTTGTTTGCTTAAGACGTTTTGAATCTTTTTTTGATTATCAGACAAGCATTTTGTTATTGCTTCGATCCGTTCTTGTCCAACAAGAAGAGGTCTCAAATATTGAGACTCAAGTTTAGTCATGAACGCCAATAGTTGCTGCACACCTGAAGATGATGATTTGGCTGGTTTCTTTTTAGACTTCT